TAGGAGTGGACTCCGCAAACATTACCTCCCGTGGTGGGTGGGGGATGGGGGGCATCAGGAACTACACAGATGGCCCACTGAGGCAGGATGGCCCAGTGACTGTGAGGAGATTGTCAAAGGAGACTTTAAAGTCAGCCATTGAAATAGAGAAGCAGATTTTTTCCTTTTAAAATTTCTGAAGACATGGGGGCTCCCGGGTGGCTCAGTTGTTAAGCATCTGCCTTCGGCTCAGGTCATGGTCCCACGGTCCGGGGATCAAGCCCCGCATCGGGCTCCCCGCTCCGCGGGAAGCCTGCTTCTCCCTCTCCCACTCCCCCTGCTTGTGTTCCCTCTCTCGCTGTGTCTCTCTCTGTCAAATAAATAAAATCTTAAAAATAAAATAAAGTAAAATAAAATAAAATAAAATTTCTGAAGACAGCAGCACCCGGCTGGCTCAGTCAGCAGAGCATGCGACTCTTGATCTCAGGATCTCGAGTTCAAGTCCCACGTTGGGTGTTTAGATGACTTGAATAAATAAAAACTAAACTAAACTAAATTTCTGAAGAGAAATTAGAGAAGGAGATGAACAGAAATACACAAAATGGAGTGCCCATGAGCTGGCTTTCTGTGGAGAACATGGAGAATATGGAGCTCGAGTCCTGTGTCCTGCTGAGGTTTGTGCTCTCTGCTCTATTCCAGTGGCTCACATCACCATCCATCAACATTTCTCTGTGGAAAGCTAGATTTACCCAAGCCCCTTCTCCCTCCAGCTCATTCCTGGAAGAGGCGGTCATTGATGGACCACAACAGTGGAAGTAACTTTGACCCCTGTACTCTGAACACAGTTCCTGGCTTTCACAGGAGTAGGGCAGGGAAAGGGGGACCTGGGGTTGAACAAGCGCATAGAACAGATACAATCCAGATAGACCTAAATATCTATGGTGAAGAACAATGTTCAAAGACAGATCTTCCCTGAGCACTAAAGGGCCCCGATGTGTGTTGCCAGCTGGTGAAAAAGGATTTGCTCTGCTTCGGAGACTTTCCCTTTACTGATTTAAGACATTCTCCATTTGTGTGGACAGTTCTGGTGGGGTCTTGAATTGCACTGTTCTAGGCTGTCTCTCTCCTTGACCAAACTAGTTAGGCTCCTCTGAAGCCTCTTCTCCACCAGGCCGCAACCTTGACTCTGGCCTTGCCAGGCCTGCCTAGCTCCGTTTAGCAAGAATCCTGCTATATCAGTTTGAGAGTGCCCTCACCCTGGCTATCTGATCACTCATATTATAGAATTCACTTCCTCATCTCTACCTTCGATGTGTAAGACCTTGGCCTCCCTTCAGCAAGAATCCTGTTAAGTCAGTTTAACGAGTCCTCCTACCCTTGATGTTTTCCCCGAAGTAATTTGCCATCCACTAACCCTGTCTCTCTGCATCTTGGCTACAAATCCCCACTTACCTTTGCTGTGTTCAGCATTGAGCCCTATCGTAATATCTCTATTGCAACTGTCTTATTTTTTTATTGACCTATAACATTGTATTCATTTAAGGTATATAATGGAATGATTTGGTGTATGTGTATATTATGAAATGATCACAATAAGTCTAGTTAATGTCCATTACTTTACACAGTTGTAATTTTTTTCTTGGGATGAGAACTTTTAAGATGAAGTCTCTTAGCAACTTTTAAATTCACAACACAGCATTGTTTTGATTTTTTAAGATTTTATTTATTTATTTGTCAGAGAGAGAGAGAGAGAGAGTGCACAAGCAGGGGGAACGGCAGGCAGAGGGAGAAGCAGGCTCCCCACCAAGCAAAGAGCCCAATGCGGGACTCAATCCCAGAACCCTGGGATCATGACCTGAGCTGAAGGCAGAGGCTTAACTGACTGAGCCCCCCAGGTGCCCCACAAACACAGCATTGTTAACTATAATCAACATGCTGTACATTATATCCCCAGAACCTATTTCTCTTACAACCAGAAATTTGGGTCTTTTGACCACCTTCATTTATTTTGCCCACCGCCTAACCCCCACCCTTGGCAACCACCAGTCTTGTCTCTCTATCTATGAGTTGTTTTTATTTTTGTTTTTGTTTTAGATTCCACATATAAATGAGATCATATGATATTTGTCTTTCTCTATCTGATTTATTTCACTTAGCATAATGCCTTCAAGGTCTATCCACTTTGTCCCGAAGGGCAGGATTTCATTTTTTTTAAATAAGACTGAAATAATATTCCATTATAGGTATATACCACATTTTCTTTATCTGTTCATCTGTCTAGTGGACACTTAGGTTGTTTCCATGTCTTGGCTATTAGAAATAATGCTGCAATGAACATGGGGGTGCATAAATCTTTTCAAGTGAGTGTTTTCTCTTTCTTTGGATAAATACCCAGAAGTGGAATTGCTGGATCCTATGACAGTTCTGTTTTTAAATTTTTGAGGAAACTTCATACTGTTTTCCATTAGTGACTGCACCAATTTATATTCCCACCAACAGTGCACAAGGATTCCCTTTTCTGCACATCCTCCCCAGCACTTGTTATCTCTTCTTGATAATAGCCATTCTAACACATGTAAGGTGGTAGCTCATTGTGGTTTTGATCTGCATTTCCCTGATGGTGAGTGATGGTGAGCACCTTTTCACCTACCTCTTGTCTTCTGTGGAAAAATGTTGGCTTAGTTCTGCTGTTCATTTTTATTTTTATTGTTATTTATTTTTTGAGATTTTATTTATTTGTCAGAGAGAGCACGCACAAGCGGGGGCGGGGGGGGGCAGCAGGCAGAGAGAGAAGCAGGATCCTCTCCAAGCAAGGAGCCTGATGTGGGACTCGATCCCAGGACCCTGGGATCATGACCTGAGCCGAAGGCAGACGCTTAACTGACTGAGCCACCCAGGTGCCCTGAGCTGACTTTTTTGTATGGTATGAGATAGTGGTCCAGTTTCATTCTTTTGCATGTAACAGTTTGGCCCCTGCCATTTATTGAAGAGACCATCCTTTCCCCTTTGTATATTCTTGGCTCCTTTGTCATAAATTAATTGACCATATATGCATGGGTTTATTTCTTCTCTCTCTTCTGTTCCATTGATCCACATGTCTGTTTTTATGCTGATACTATATTGTTTTGGTCACTATAGCTTTTGTCATATAGTTTGAAAACAGGAAATATGATGCCTTCAGCTTTCTTTTTTCTCAAGATTACTTTGGCTATTCAGGGTCTTTTGTGGTTCCATACAAATTTTAGGATTTTTTAAAAAAAATATTTTATTTGTTTATTTGACAGAAAGACAACATGCACAGCGGGGGCGCAGGAGAGGGAGAAGCAGGCTCCCCACTGAGCAGGGAGCCCGACAAATGGCCTGATCCCAGGACCCTGGGATCGTGACCCCAGCTGAAGGCAGACACCTAACCCACTGAGCCACCCAGGCGCCCCTCTTTTTTTTTTTTAAGATTTTGTTTTTAAGTGATCTCCACACCCAACATGGGCTTGAACTCACAACCCCAAGATCGAAAGTCACTCATTCCACCGACTGAGCTGGCCAGTCACCCTAAGATTGTTTTTTTTTTTTTCCTATTTCTTTGAAAAATGCCATTGGAATTTTGATAGAAATTTTATTGACTCTGTAGCTTGCTTTGTGTTTTATGGATATTTTAACAAACTTAATTCTTCCAATCCATGAGCACTGAACAATTTTGCTTTTATTTATGTCTTCTTTAATTCCTTTGATGAATATTTTATGATTTTCAGTGTACTGATCCTTCACCTCCGTGGTTAAACTTATTCCTAGATATTTTATTCTTTTTGATATAAATGGTATTTTCTTAATTTCTCTTTCTGATGGCTTGTTATATATAGAAATGCAACCGAATTTTGTATATTGTTTTTTACTGAATTCAGCTATTCTAATAGTTTTTGGTGGTGTCTTTTAGGTTTTCTATATATAGGATCATGTTATCTGCAACACAGATTTCCATCTTCCTTCCTGATTTGGATGGCTTTTATTTTCTTTCCTAATTGCTCTGCTAGGACTTCCAGTACTCTGTTGAATAAAGTGAGAAGAGTGGACATCCTTGTCTTGTTCCTGATCTTAGATCAGCAATAGTCTCAAAAGAAGTCTTCCGTTTTAACAAGTGTCAGAATAATTTTTTCTTTAACAGTCTGGCACATCAAACAGGACCCTAAGACTCTTAAACCACCCTGATCCTGATGGCTGACCTTGTTGTTTGAAACATGACCTGATTTGAAAGTGCCTGCAGCATTGGTGGACATTCCCTTCTGCCCTGAAAAAACCTCAGGATCTTGGGCCAGTACGAACCTTCCAAACTACGACCCCTGGGAACGCTGCCAGGAGCGCACCGTCCCCTAAGCCCTGTAGAGGGCGCTCCAGGCCGCCCAGGGCTGCTCTGACCTGCGCTGGGAGAGCCCGGGCGTCCGCCAGCTCGCTCCTCGCCAGCCTCGGTTCGCGGGCCCTGGGCGGCATCCGTCCGCGCTGATTCCCACTCCCGCAAGCTCCCTCGTCCCGCGTGGCCGGCGGGGAGGGTGGCGGAGGGCAGCGGGACGCTCCGTGCCGGCCACGTTGTGCCCACCGGCGCCCCATTATCCCCAAGGCAGGGATCTCCCGGCCGCCGGATTTCGAATTTAGAAATCACGCTTTAGTCCTGCAAGTTTGGTATCTGTGACCACTTTAGGTTTAATAAAAACCCATAAATTCGTAAAGAAAGGCGATCTTGAGGGAGGGCGCACGGCCTTGCAGCCGCAGGCCGCGGAAGGCGGAGGAGGCTGTGCGGCGAGGACCAGGCCGCAGCGGAGTCACCACCTCCCACCGCCGGCGCCCCGGGGGGCCACCCCTCAGTTAAAGGCCGCGGTACTGGGAGCGGCCTGCCCTTTGGGCTCCTGGCCAAGGGCCGCACCTCCCCCGCAGCCCCAGCGGCCGCCGCGCTCCCGCCGGGTGACGGCTGGGCGTCCGTGGAGGGCCCCGCCGGAGCTGCCGCCGCCGCCCGCGCCCCCGCCCGCTCGGCCATGGGCGCCGCCGGCTCGTCGGCTCTGGGCAGCCTCGGCCTCCCCGCGCCGCGCCTCCCCGCGCCGTCCCGGCCCGCCTGGCTCGGGGCGGCCGCGCTGGGACTGGCCGCCGTGGCGCTAGGTACAGTGGCCTGGCGCCGCGCGCGCTCCAGGCGGCGCCGGCGGCTCCAGCAGGTGGGCACCGTGGCGCAGCTCTGGATCTACCCGGTCAAGTCGTGCAAGGGGGTGCCGGTGAGCGCGGCGGAGTGCACGGCCTTGGGGCTGCGCTGCGGCCACCTGCGGGACAGGTAGGGCCGGGCCGGGCCGCGGCTGCGCGGGGTGGGCTCCGGCCGCGGGCGGGAGCGGGGTGGTCTGCGGAGCCCGCCATCAGGTCCTTCCTTCCCTTACAGTGGGGCAAGGACAAAGAGAACGAGGGGCCATTACCTCCCGACAGCGGACCCCAGGGGCCCGGGACCCTGGGGCTCTGTGTCCTGACCCAATTCCCGGAGACAGCTGTATTCTCACCTCCCACGGCCCCTTTCACCTCTGCGCTCCTGCCGGGGAGTGGTTTTGGCGTCCAGGTGTCTGCCAGTGTGCAAACGGACTTCTTCAACTCCGGCTAGCGGAGGTGACGAGCGCCCAGGGATTGGTCCCCAGCACATTAGTTTTCTTAATTGTCTCTGGAGAACTTGGGGAGACTTGGGGCCGCGGAGCCCAGCCCTCAAGGAGCGCACCAAGGTGGAGCGCATAATCATAATGACAGCTATTGAAGCTTAAACTTCTTGCCGCTGAGGAAGTTCTATTGCACGTGCTCTTTCCCCTAATTCTCGCAAGCCCTCTTGCATGGATAAAGAAACCGGGGTCCCGCGCCACCCAGCGAGGGGACCAGGACTCTCGTTTTCTTTAGCACGCGGGTGCTTTGTGAAGTCCTGTTATTAAGGCACTATCTGGGTAGTCACGATCTGCGTGAACGCTTGGGGTTCAGGGAAGGCACAAGAGGCCCTGAGCGAGCAGGCGAGCGAGCGGCTTTGTTCTCCTCTGCGTCTGGCGTCAGGCCAGCCCGGAACCTCATTGTAAGGCTGCACTTTAAGCTCTTTCCTCCCAGACCAGCCCTCACAGCTTCTGCAGGGAACCCAGAACTCGGGGGTGGGGGTGGGGGGTAGGGGAGGGGCTGTAGTTCTTCCTCCTTGCAGCTCTCCGGACAGAGGGCAACTCACAGCATTAATGAAGGGTGAGCTATGCATCTTTGCTTCAGGAAGGAAGCCAAGAGTCCTAGATATTTCATGGATTGTACGGAGTTTGCTGACTCTGCAAGACGGTAGAATTTATTGAATTCATTTTGTAGGCCCCAGAGGCAAGGGGCGTTATCATTTTACTGTATGGACTGGGAATATTTCCCGAGCTCATATATTAGTAAATAACAATCAGAGCAGACACTATTTTTGTCCACCCACTACCACGAAGTGTGATTGGGAGAAGCAAACAAAGGCTTACTGGACTCAGTGTGACAAGTACCAGGGAGCACAGAGAAGGAGCACCAGAAACCGCCTGGGGTGGGCAGGAATGATATTATAGCTTGAACTGAATATTAAAAAATAATTATGAACTTTCCAGGCAAGTAAATTGGGAGAGGAACATTCTAAAGAGAGAGAGAGAGAGAGAGAGAGAGAGAGAGACATGGAGTAAGCTGGGTAAAGACCCTGGACTTGGAGGGGAGGTATGCTGGGGAAAAGGTGAGTGTACTCTTAGGGAATTGCTGGAAGGAATTGAAACCAGGCAGATATGTCTACACCAGTGATCGCTGCAGCATTACTCACAGTGGCCAAAAGATGGAATCAACCCAAATATCCACCCACAGATGAATGGTAAACAACATCTATACACAATAGAATATTGTTTGGCCACAAAAAGGAACGGAGTTCTGATACACACTACAGCATAGATAAATCTTGAAAGCATTATGTTAAGTGAGATAAGTCAGGCACAAAAGGACAGATATGTGATCCTAATTATATGAAATAGCTGCATTGGCAAATTCGTGAAGACAGGAAGTGGATTAGAGTTTACCAGGGGCTCAGGGGGAGAGGGGGAACGGGGAGTTATTGCTTAATAGGTTCAAAGTTTCTATTTGGGATGATAAAAAAAGTTTTGGAAATTGATACTGGTGATGGTTGCATAACATTGTGAAGGTACTTAATGCCACTGAATTGTGCACCTAAAATGATTAAAAACACCTTGAAAAAATATCCATTCTTTGTAGATGTTTCCATGTTTTGGTGTTGTGAATATTGCTGCTATGAACATCAGTGTGCAAGTATCTGTGTGAGGCCCTGTTTTCAATCCTTTTGGAGATACCTAAGAGCATGCCAGGCACTTGATGTTGTATATATTTTACCACAATAAAAAAATTAAAAAAGAAAGAGGCTGGCCTGCGTGAGGGCACAAGGAGTTGTGAATGGCTGGGAGGGTAGCTGGGTTATGTAGGGCCTTGCCTGCCTTGTCGAAGAGTTAGGGTTTTATCCTGAAAGCAGGAGCCATGAAGGGATTTTTCATGAGGGGGTGACATGATTAGATTGGTGATTTAGAAAGATCAGACTGCCAGGATGCCCAGCTGGCTCAGGGGGAGGAGCCTGAGACTTTTGATCTTGGGGTCGTGAGTTCGAGCCCCCTGTTGGGCATAGAGATTACTTTAAAGTATTAAAAAGAAAGGCAAGATCAAACTTCCACCATTATCTGGAAGAATTATTACATGAAGAAGAATATTCCTGTGCTGGTACAAAAGATTTGGAGCAGGGAAGCGCTCTGTCTGGGTCAAGAATGAGGACTGATAAACGGGCAGTTCAGGAAAGGGCTCCCACTAACCTCGTTCTTCTAGTGTAGCTGAAACATCTCAACCATGATGACCTGCTGGAGGTGATGCAAGGAAGCTCTTTAACAACCTCACATATTCACTGGCATGTTATGTTTATGGGCTCCAAAAGCACAAGTTCACTTCTATAACTGTAATCACTTGATCCAGTGTGAATTGAAATTACCAACATGTCAATATGTTTTGCTTCCTCAGTAGCTGAGAAATAACCTATACAAATGACTCCCCACCTCCCACCCCTGAAACCATTTTCAACTGCTCTTATTTCTCCATTTATCTTTTTTTTTTTTTTCCTGAGAAGTGCCTCTAGATTAGGAGTGTTGTGCCAGAAAAATTTTTGGCCATAGTAATGATAGACCTTTGAGCAAATTGCAGAATTCACCGCCCTGAATACGAAACAGTAATTTTTAAAAAGGTAGGGGTGGATTTGGCAAGGTCTAAGTGGCATCCTATGCTGTCCCACTGAGCTCCATGCTCTGAGAACAACAGAGCAACAATCTTGCTATTTCACTGCAGGAGCCCAGGGCCTACTGTGTGCCAGGCATGGTGCTTCCTTGTGCTCTTAACGTCTTTCCAGGAAATAGTTTCTTGTCATCTTTTTGGGGCATGTTTAATGAAAGTGGTCAGGATTTCTGGCAGCTGAGATGAAAATATAATAACATCTTTGATTTCTGTGCCATCCAGGAGCTCAAAATGTTCTGAAGATATTATATATATATTGGATGCTTGACTGGTTCCTAAACCCTTTGAAATTAACGGACAGCCTCAGTCTTGCTGTGCTGCTGAGTTGATGTTTAAGGATAGACGGGCAGACACATACACACAGACACACAAACTCACACACACCAAGCTGACAGGGAGGAAATCAAAGAGTACATTTATATGCCTGAAGCTCCCACAGAGACTGACCGCCCGTCATGGTGGGCAACGTGTATCTTGTGTTTTGAACATGGCAGGTTTTGGCTGGTGATCAATGAGAAGGGGAACATGGTTACAGCTCGACAGGAGCCTCGTCTGGTCCTGATTTCCCTGACTTGTGAGGGTGATGCCCTGACTCTCAGTGCAGCCTACACGAAGGACCTGCAGTTGCCCCTCAAGACACCGGCCACGAATGCAGTTTACAAGTGCAGGTAAGGCAGGGGTAGAGAAAATAACACCACCAGAGGATGAAGGACAGAGGTGACGTGGGAGTGATGGTGGACAATGTCCAGGAAGGGGTGAAATGCGATCTAGGTATTACCATCGGACTTGCCCTATTACGCCTGGAGAGACTGGGAACCTTCCATATCTGAGTTAGGAAGGGAGTCACAAATATTTTTGTGAACTGTGATATTTAGCACTAATGAAAGGACGTTCTAAGATAGAAAAGACAGCTGCAACCAGGAGAGTGATCCGACTTGCATGTGCCCAGGGGTCTGTCTGCGTGATAGCGAGGGTGGAGATTTCAGCCGGGAAGGGACTTTGTACAGAGGCTCTTTCCCCAACATTAGAAGGGCTGTAAGGAAACAGTTAGTCTAAGAAAACTAGCTTTGCTTCTGAGACCTGATGTCTCGAGGTGATTTTTTATCCCATCATGGGGAAATTAGAATTTGGTCTAATTATACTTTGTCATCGTTTCTGCATCTTGAGTTAAAATGCATTGTGAAGGCTGAATGGAGTCCGTAGCCTATCATAGAAAATAACATCACATCAAAAAATGTAGATCCCAGTTAGCTGAAAAATATCTAAAGATCCCCAGAAGTTTATAAGATGCAATACCCATCTAATTTCTGTAATATTTTAGAGTTTCAGACATAATATGTCCTTATTTTAATTTGATGTTTTTTTTAAATTATAAATGTAATACATATTCGTAGTTGAAAGACTGGAAAATACTAAAAAAAAAGTAAAGAAAAACCTGTGAGGTAACTAACTATAAGTAATATTCTGATGTTTTCTGTCTTTGTAGTTAATACTTTAAAAGAAATAATATAAAAATCAGAGTCTTGAATACTGCCATATACTTGATATGTTGAGTACCTTTTCATATATTTTTTAAAGATTTTATTTATTTATTTAATGGAGAGACAGCAAGAGAGGGAACACAAGCAGGGGGAGTTGGGGAGGGAGAAGCAGGCTTCCCGCTGAGCAGGGAGCCTGATGCGGGGCTTGATCCCAGGACCCCGGGATCATGAGCTGAGCTGAAGGCAGATGCTTAGTGACTGAGCCACCCAGACACCCCACCTTTTCATATTGTTCACAATCTTCAAAAATAATCTTCACGTTGGCCTACTATTTCATTCTGAGGGTGTGTCTTATAATGCATTTTAACATGTTCCCACAATTAAATATTTGGATTGTTTTCTATTATTTCCAGGTGTGAAGAAGAATGTGAAAAAATCTTGGTATAAATCTTTGTTCAAAATGCTTAGTATTTCCTTAGGGAAAAATTTTTAGCAGTGGTTTTGCTAGAAACAAGAAACTATAGACTTTTGATATACGTTGCTGAATAGTTTTGCAGAATGCTTATACCAACTGTATAGCTACCAGTATTTTATGGGGATCTCTGTCTAATTGCATTCTGACCACTGTGTGCAAAAATATTTGGCCATTTTTATAGGAAAAAGATGGCAGTTTCTTGTTACTTTAATTTGCATTTAATTTACTGTCCAAGGCAAACTTTTTATTTTTACTTTTTTTTTTAAAGTAGGCTCTATACCCAACATGGGGCTTGAACTCACAACCCCAAGATCAAAGAGTTGCATCCTCCATGGACTGAGCCAGCCAGGTGTCCCTGAGGCAAATTTTTTAATATGTCTGTTGCAATTTGTATTATATATTTGTTCACATCCTGGCTCCTGTTTCTTTGCCATGACTGGGTATCTGCCCATACTTTCTTGTGGTTATTTTTTTCCATTTAATTATTAATTCATTTGGAATTATGTGGAAACTTTTTTCATGGCCCTGTACAGGCTCTCTGGTCCACACTCAAAGACTAAACAAGAGCATGTTTGGAAATTGCAAAATGAGAAGGTTTAAACATGTTACAATAGTTTACAGACTCTTAGGGTGAAGATGTCAAGGACCTTTTGGACCTGGGTTTCTTTGGCAGCACAGGCCATTCTCTTGTGAAGGACTTGTAACTTCAGCCCACAGTCTCCTAAAGATTTCTGATGAGTCTTGGGATGCAGGGGTCACTTTCAAAAGGTCATGATCATAGCCAGTACACCTGTTTTTACTGTTGAGGTTGTTGCTTGATTTTCTTACAAGTCATGCCAGCCACTAACAGGATACAGAGAATTAGGGCCTTATATGGATTATTCAGGCAAATAGCCTCAAACCATGCCTACATTATCTTTGTTGAAAGTTTTAGGAACATTTGGACTTTTTTTTTTTTTTTTTGGCTTGGATTTTTTGGGACAGTGTGTCGGTGGAATGTTGGACCCAGTGACACAGCTGAGGCTGCTCAGAACATAGGAGAAATGTAGGAAGAGAAAGAAAAAAGGCAGAGAACAAATTGTGCTAATATAAGGGCCTCATATTGTAGGTATTTATGAATCTTCTCTACTGAAGGCGGTTAGTAAAGACTGGAGGAGGTAATTCCCACTCAAATATGAAAACGGCAATACAAAACCCCAAGGAAAATGAAAAGTCAATGAAACATGACATCACCAAGAGAGCATAGGAACCTAGTAACCTATTTCAAGGACATGGAGGTGTATGATTTACCCAATAAAGCACTCAGATAGCTGTTTTTTTCTTTTAAGATTTTAATTATTTGACAGAGAGAGACACAGCTAGAGAGGGAACACAAACAGGGGGAGAGGGAGAGGGAGAAGCGGGCTTCCCGCTGAGCAGGGGAGCCCGATGAGGGGCTCGATCCCAGGACCCGGGAATCATGACCTGAGCTGAAGGCAGACGCTTAACGACTGAGCCACCCAGGCGCTCTCAGATAGCTGTTTTAAGGAAACTCCATGAGATGCAAGAAGACATGGAGAGACAGTTCAGTGAAAACAGGAAAATAATAAATGGGTAAAGTGAGAAGCAAAACAAAGAGATAGAAATGATTTAAAAAAAAAAAGAGCCAAAGAGAAATTCTGGAGCTGAAGAATAAAATGAATGAAATGAAAAATGCACTAGAGTGTTATAACAGCAACATGGGTCAAGCAAACAGAGGAATCTTTGGGACCGAAGACCAGATCTTCCAATTATCCAGTCAGAGGAGAACAAATTAAAGAGAATGAAAAAGAGTGAAAAAAGCCAATGTGCTCTATGGATTACCATTAAAAGAAACGATTGGTGAATTCTTGTAGTTCCCGAAGAAGAAAAAAGTAGGAGTGGCAGAAAATTTAGTTAAAGAAGTAATGGCGGAGAACTTTCTAAATCTGGGGAGACCTTTGCATCGCCAAGTTCATGAATCAAAGGAAAAGAATCTTAAAAGCAGCAAGAGACAAGAAGCTTGTAACTTACAAGGGCACCCCCCTAAGGCTATCAGCCAACTTCTCAGCAGAAACCTTACAGGCTAGGAGAGAGTGGGGTGATCAAGAATATTGCCAATCAAGAATACTCTCTCCGGCAAAGTTAGCCTCTAGAAGTGAAGGACAGATAAGGACTTTCCAAGACAAACACACGCTGAGGGAGTTCATCACCACTGCATCTGCCTCACGAGAAATGCTAAAAGAAGTTCTTCAAGCTGAAAGGAAAAGATGCTAATATGAGAACATATGAAAATATACAACACACTGATGAAGGTAAACACAGAATTGGGGCACCTGGCTGGCTCAGTTGGTAGAGTATGTGACTCTTGATCTTGGGGTCATGAATTTGAGCCCCATGTTGGGTGTAGAGATTACTAAAAGAATTAAATAAAAAATAAACACAAAATCAAATTCAGAATACGCAAATACTGTAATATGTGGTGCGTTAATCACTTAAGTCTTGCATAATGGTTAAATGACAAGTATTATGACTATAGCTACAATAATTTGTTAATAAATATGTGATATAAAAACAGGTGAATTGTGACATCAGAAACATGAAGTGGGAAGTAGAAGAGTAGAGTTTTTGTATGAGATCAAAATTAAATTATCAGCATAAAATAGACTGCTGTATCTATAAGATGTTTTAATTAAACCTTATGATAATCACAGAGCAAAAAATCCTCTGTGGAATCATAAAAGATAAAGGGAAGGGAATCAAAGCATTTCACTATGGAAAACCATCAATTTACAAGGGAAGATAGAAAAAGAGGAAGAAGAGAACAAGGGAATTACAAATCAGCTAGAAAATAATAAGATGGCATTAATTGGTCCTTAGTTATCAATCATTTTTTTTTTAGAGACAGTGCACAGGTGCACTCAACGGCTGGTGGGGGGAGGGGCAGAAGGAGAGGGCAAGAGAGAATCTTTTTTTTTTATTTTTTTTTATTTTTTTTTAATTTTTTATTGTTATGTTAATCACCATATATTACATCATTAGTTTTTGATGCAGTGTTCCATGATTCATTGTTTGTTCATAACACGAGGGCAAGAGAGAATCTTAAGCAGTCTCCACACCAAGCATGGAGCCCGACGTGGGGGTTTAATCTCATGGCTCTGAGATCACGACCTGAGCCGAAATCAAGAGTTGGATGCTTAACTGACTGTGCCACCCAGGAGCCCCTTGTTATTAATAATTTATGGAAATGGATTAAATTCTCCAGTCAAAGGCACAGAGGCTGGATGGATAAACAAGACCCATTTATCTGCCGCCTCATAGAGACTCACTTCAACTTTAGGGACACACATAGGCTCTGAGTGAAGGGTTAAGAAAAGATATTTACACACATGGAAACCAAAAACCAAAAGAGAGCAAGGGTTTCTGTATTTAATCAAACAAAATAGACTTTCAGCCAAAGATTGTAATAAGAGACAAAAAAGGACATTATATTATGTAAAGGGATAAATTCTTTTTTTTTAAGATTTTTTTATTTGAGAGAGAGAGAGAGAGAGCACAAGCTGCAGGGGGGTGAGATAGGGAAGGTGGGAGAGGGAGAAGCAGGCCCCCCGCTGAGCAGGGAGCCCGATGCGGGGCTCGATCCCAGGACCCTGGGGTCATGACCTGAGCCGAAGGCAGACGTTCAACCGACTGAGCCACCAGGTGCCCCCAAAAGAGATAAATTCATCAAGAATATGTACCAATCGTAAATATATATGCCCCCCCCACCTTGGAGTTCCTAAATATACTAAGCAAATACTAACAGAAGTGGACAAGACAGCAATAGTCCGGACTTTGGTATCCCACTTTCAACGATGGAGAGATCATGTGGAGAGAAAACTCACTAATGAAATGTTGGCCTTGAGCCATACTTCACACCGAGTGGGCCTAACAGACATTTACAGAGCATTCTCTCCAACAGCAACAGAATACATGCTCTGCTCAAGCACACAAGAAGGCTTCTCCAGCGTAGATCCTGTGACAAGTCATGAAACAAAGTCAGCAAACTAAGAAGACTGAAATCATATCACATATTTTTTTACATCCACAATGGTATGAAATTAGAAACCAAAAGAGGAGGAAAGCTGAAAAGTTTACAAACATACAGAAGTTGAACAATACGCTTCTGAACAACCAGTGAGTCAAAGAAGAAATCGAAAGGAAAATGTAAGAAAACATCTTGAAACAAACGAAAATGGAAACACAACTTACCAAAACCTATGGGATGCAGCAAAAGCAGTTTTCAGGGAGAAGTTTATAGTGATACATGCCGGCATTAGAAAAAAAGAAAGATCTCAGATAAACAGCTGAATTTTATACCTCAAGGAGTTAGAGAAAGAACACACTAAGCCCGAAGTTAACGTAAGGAAGGAAATAACAAAGATCAGAGCAGATCTTTGATAAGATAAATGGAACAGAGGCCAGAACAATAATAGAAACGATGAACAAAATGGAGAACTGGTTTATTTTTATTTAAACATTTTTTTTAACTTTAAAAAAAGTATTTATTCGACAGAGAGAGACACAGCGAGAGAGGGACCACAAGGCGGGGGGGAGAGGGAGAAACAGGCCTCCTGCTGAGCAGGGAGCCCGATGTGGGGCTCGATCCCAGGACCCTGGGATCATGACCTGAGCCAAAGGGAGCCGCTTAATGACTGAGCCACCTAGGTGCCCCTATTTTTTAAAAAATTGAGGACAGTTGGCACACATAAGAGCTGGTTTTCTGAAAAGATAAAATTGACAAACTTTTAGCTAGATTAAGAGAAATGAGAGCAGACTCAGATAAAATCAGAAATGAAAGAGGAAGCATTAGAACTGATACCACAGAAATGCAAAGGATCATAAGAGACTGCTATGAAGAAAGCTCACTTGAAATAACTGGGAAAAAAAACCCCCAAAACTAGAATAATTACTACCATCTACTGAGCACATCCGAAACCTCAGAATTGTTTGGGGGACTTTGTATAGATGATCCCTGATCCTCATAAGAAGGTTGTGATTTTATCCCCATTATATAGATGAAGAAACTAAGGCACCAAGTAAGAGATAAAACCAAGGTCATGGAGCTAGTCATTTGTGGGAACAGGATGCACCCCCGAGTAGGTCTACCTGACTCTCTCCTCTTTCCCAAACTTAAGGCATTGGTACAACTCAGCCATGCTTTGTGCTGGGTCTCGGGCATCCAATTGAGCCTTGAGCAACAGAGGTTTGAACTCTGTGGATTTGAACATGCAGATTTTTTTCAGTAAATACCGTGCAGTCTTACACATTTCTTTCCTTTTCTTTATGATTCTCTTAATAACATTTTCTTTTCTTTAGCTTTATTGTAAGAATACAATAGATAATACACATAGCATACAAAATATGTGTTCATCACCAGTTTATATGTTACCCATAAGGCTTCTGGTCAACAGTAGGCTATTAGTAGTTAAATTTTGGGGAGGTCAACAGTTATATGTGGATTTTCCACTGCATGGAGGGTTGACACTCCTAACCTCCACGTGGTTCAAGAGTCAACTGTACTTATTTAATGTTTTCCTTCAAATTGATTTAGCTTTTAAAAAAGACCTTAAAGGCATTTATTTATTTTTCTTATTCTTAGTATTTTCTTATTGTACAGGGTGTGTAGTGAGTTCATTTACGTACATCTTCAGTAATAAAATATCAATGTATTATAATTCCATAAGAAATGTGTATCTCAGGACATCTGGGTGGCTCAGTCAGTTAAGCGTCTGCCTTCGGCTCAGGTCATGATCCCAGGGTGCTGGGATAGAGCCCCACATCGGGCTCCCTGCTCAGCGGGGAGTCTGCTTCTCCCTCTGCCCTTCCCCTGCTTGTGCGTGCACTCTCTCTCTCTCTCAAATGGATAGATAAAATCTTTAAAAAATATATGCTATAAGTGGAATGTTACCTAATTCTAGCTAGAAATATTGCCTGCAGAAGTCTCTGGACCTGAGGTCCGTTCTTTCTTTTTAAAAAAGAGATGATTATCACGTGTTGCTAGAAGTTAAAGCCTTACTATCGTGAAACTGAACAGAATCATGTTCTCTCTCTGCCGCTCACCATTCTTTCCTGTTGTACCCAAGTGTGAGTCTTATCTTGAATACCCATAATAGTGATGGTCCTACACCTGGGAAACACCAGCCTATAACTGTTTCTTTCCTCTCTGAGCTGTGAGACACATACAGCTGCCATGCAGTTCTGCATCCTGTATGTCTGGGGCAGGGGAGACTTCAAATCCAACGCTTACTGCTAGCAACCAAATCAAATCAGATTATTGTTGTCTATAATGTTTTAGATTTTATAGAACATTTTCACATACATTGCCGCATCTAGTTTCATTATCATCATACTGGTAATGTTTAGCTGGCCTATTAGTAAAGATTTGTGGTTGCTATCTAGCTGGGTGAACCAGATTTTGCAGTAATTGTTAGTTTACTTTATATTGATGTATTCATTTTCTTCTGGAGAACTCTGTATCTTTTCAAACCTATAATCTTATTTTGTTCTCCCATGCATCCAGATAGGGAGGCACAGGTATGCATCACTCCGTCATAAAACTGGGGAAAGCAAGGTTTGAAACTGACTTCATTGAGCCTCACACAGGGGTTGGGAGGCAGGGCCAGGCTAAAATGATGTTTCCTGATAATTCAGGAATTGCAGTGACATCCCAGCTTTTCAGATATGTGTGGGACATGCTAGGGTGTCCAGAGTTTCAAAGCCACGGCCATTCTTTGCCCCTGCCACCCCCTGCAGAGTGCATGGCCTGGAGATCGAGGGCAGGGACTGTGGGGAGGCGGCGGCCCAGTGGATAACTAGCTTCCTGAAGACGCAGCCCTATCGCCTGGTGTACTTTGAGCCTCACCTGCAACCGAGAAATTCTCACCAAATATTGGACGCGTTCCGGCCCACCGACCAGGTCAGAGGAGCACCCCTGGGCTTTGGCCTTTGGTGTGTCCTGTGGAAGACTGGCTTCCTCAGGGGTGCAGAGCCCATCAGGCGGGGCAGCCTGTCTGCTGAGCTCCGCCCTGTCATTTTTGCCGGGAAGCTTGGCCTGAGCAGTGGCTGGGGATTATAAAAAATAGGCAAAAAAATAAAAGCCCTTCCTTTGGAAACTTCATCTGTGTTTCTTGATTTGGGGGACTGTTGCATTTTTCCCATGGGCATCTACCTTCCTACTTATGTAAGCCTTCCAGTGCCGACAGGGTTTCAAAACTGTTCTACGTCCAGATCTTTTCCATTCTATTCTGTAGTTGTATGTGGAGTCCAACCTTTTTTACAGTGTGATTGCAATTGGCAGATCACAATTGGCAAACGAGTGTGGGAGTATGGAGATCCACAGACTTAAAGTGACCAGGTTGGCCCTTTCAGGAATAAGGCTGTAAGGATTCATCATAAAGGGAGGGTTGGTAGCACAATTATTATGGCTGTTAAAAAAAACTATATAAATGGTCAGTAAACGAATTTGATGTTGATTTGCATGTTGCATTAACTAATAGGTATCCAGGGAAGCAGTGAGTATTTTTATCACCTGTATTGAGGTCATCAAGCCCATCAACACTGGGGAAGTTGAGGCTTGGAAAGGTGGAGTGACTTCCTTAAGGGCACTTGACCAGTGGCAGCTCTTGATCCCAAGGCCAAGTTCTCTTCATTCCATCATGTAATTCCTGTTATCTGCAAGGCTATTTAAGACTTCTGAACCACTATGACTTTTCTATATAAAGAACTAAAAGAAATATTTAGAAACAGTGTGTGTGTGTGTTTGTGCGTGTGTTTGTGCGTGCGTGTGCACACGGGGGTGGGGCCGGGGAAGAGAGGGTTCCAGGAACTAGACACATGTGACCTCTGTGTACCACATTCTAACCATTTCTATTTCCTTACCAGATTGTGTACTCAGATACCAGCCCATACTTGATCCTTTCTGAGGCATCGTTGGCAGATCTCAATTCCAGGCTGGAGAAGAAAGTTAAAATGACTAACTTCAGGCCCAATATTGTAATTTCAGGGTGTGGTGTCTATGCAGAGGTAACTTGATGCCTTCCTTGTCCTTTTTCTTGGATTTAACTTTTTTTTTTTTTTTAAGGTATAAGAGCCTCTGATGTTGCATTAGATTATTCTGAAGAATTCACTAGTTATTGGTTGTATGCTAGACAATTCAGAGTTTTGATTTCTTAACCATCTAATCAATGCGGACTTCTGCAAGGAGGGCGCAAATATAAATGACATGCTGGTGATGGGGCGGTTCTGGGTCTGAGACTTCTAAGGACAGTTCTCAGTAGGTAGAGTAGTTTTTGAGCCAAATTTATATAGCATAAAATACATGATGTGTGTGGGCCATGGATCAAACGCAGGGTGTGCTCATGTCTTGTTGAAGTTGGCTTTCCTATTCAACTGATGGCCCCAGGAGAAGACAGGCTGTTGAAGTATGGCTGTTGGGGTGTGGGAGTGGAGTCCCCAAGCTAGATGGAACTACCCTAAAATTCTTCCAGTGTCACCTTTGATCTGCACTCAGATGTCTGCGCTGTGGCTTAGCATGAGGGCCACATGATTCTGGTGGCAGATTTACCTTTGTCATTGTCTTTGGATGTTTTGTTTGGTTCTGTCCCTTGTCAACCATGAAGGCAGAGATTGGTGGCCTGGGGGCTTGGTGAAGCAGTCTAGGGGCCTGGGTAGCTCAGTCGTTAAGCGTCTGCCTTCGGCTCAGGTCATGATCCCAGGGTCCTGGGATCGAGCCCCACATCGTGCTCCCTGCTCCGCGGGAAGCCTGCTTCTCCCTCTCCCACTCCCCCTGCTTGTGTTCCCTCTCTCGCTGTGTCTCTCTCTGTCAAATAAATAAATAAAATCTAAAAAAAAAAAAAAAGCAGTCCAGAGGTTTGAAGCCCACACTCAAACCCAAGGCTCCGAGGTTGGCTGTCGGCTTCCTTGCTGGCCCCTGTAGGACTCTGTGTGCTCCCTCTGAGGCTCCTTTACCTGCCTGGAGAATGGGGTGGTCCTTTCTGCCTAGGATTACCTTATAGGCTTGTTAAAGGATCAGTTTGGCTGAGGTAACTTATGAAAAGTATAAATGCAGTGTCAGTCAGTGAAGGGCAATAGAAGTAACTCCAAATCCACCTCTGACATTTTATGTGAACCGCTCCGAGCGTATCCTGTCTTTCAAAGATGGCAGGTCAGCTCCTAGTGTGAGGTGGGAAATGTGCTCTCTCCCCGACAGCCTGGACTGGGCTCTCTCCGTGTTCCACAGTGACAAGGGAGCTCGTCTGCCCTTGCTCACATCCTGCGCAGTTCAGTCGGACTCAGACAAGAGGGAAAAATCAGTGTGGGTTGCCTTTGACCATCTCATTGATATTCATCTCGCACCAGTTGTGGCCAGGAAAGCAGTTTCTCTGGAGGGTTTTCCTTCTCAGGGAAAGAGAAAGGAGGGGGAGGGTTTCCATTTAATGCTCACATTGTGCTTTGCAGCCCAGGGAGATGAAAGTCATCATTCCCCTTTTATAAGGGGGAGAGGAGAGGCCTGGGGTGGGGATGACCTGGCTCGTCCCAGGCTGCCCCATGGCAAGAAGTGGAGGACCTGGGTCTTGAACCCAGACTGTACCAGGGGCCAAAGGAACTCTGAGCATCGTAGGGGGCGTGCATGAGGTTGGGGCACCGGATTTGAATCCACCTGCTTCACTAAGTGGCTGTGTGACCCTGGACAGGTCCTTGCACCCCTCGAGGCCCTTGCTTCCTGCACCTGTAGATGATTTCAGCCGGCCCCTCCCTTGAGGGCAGCTGTCAGAATCAAGGTGGATAATCTGCGGAAAAGCTCCCTGAGGTGGAAAGTGTCAGACAGAGGTGGGGGAGGGTTTCTGTCCTACAATCAGAGTGAAGGTGCCTGGCTCAGGCATTCCCCCAGCTATGACCGACTTAAGCTTCCTTCCGCCCCGCAGTCCTTGAGCCCTGGGTCTTGTTGATGACGTTTGCTACCCCAGAGTTGGGAGGTGGTCAGATGTAGATGAAATTGAGTGCAGAGGAGACAGCCCAGAGTAGGACCTCAGATTTTGATTTGTTTGAACGGAATCTTGTTCCGGAAGTCTTCATTTCCATCTAACTCTGAGCGCTCCCTAACTGGGAGTATTTTACATTTTAAGTCGGATGTTAATACAGCATTTTGGCTGAGCTCACTTTGTCATAGCGTGTCACTCATCCCACTGTGAGTTGGTGCCCCTGTGTCCCCTGCACTGTGGGTGACACGTGGAAAAACAGGATTGAAGAAGAATGGCTGCTTCTCCCAAGGAGATCACAGCCCCAGGTGATCAGCCTGTGAACAGGCCAGCGCGACAGGCCAGGAAGGGGGTGAGCGCAGGCGGTTAGGTGACCCCAGGGGTGTTATCAACCCAGACTGGACGGGAGCTGGCGGCCCCTAAGGGTCTGCTCAGGCTCAGAGTATCCCAGGGCTCAGGCCTTAGACCCGTTTACATCTCTGGCTTTCCTTATGGTGGAATTTTTTACCTTATATATCTGTGACTCAACCCCTAACCTAAAAGGGGCTCTGGAAATACTTCTTTAATGAATAATAAATTAATTTCCTACCCAGAACCACCCACGTTTCCCCTTTTGCATCTTTTATGTTTTTTTTTATGACCACAGTGCCCCCTGGTGGGCAGATGCACACAGAACAGGCTGGGGGCTGCTCTAGTCTGGCGGCCCAAGCTTTTTGGGATCCTTGTGACACCTGCAGTTAAGAGACCCATTTTATAATTAAAAACTACAATACGTATTAGCAAGAATGATACACACTCTCAGAGGTAAAATTCTGAGTCTGCAGGTCTCTTTCTGGCTTGTGACCAACAAAGGACTGGGCAGGTTGGTTTTAACTCAAGAATTTTTGTCTTCAGCCCTCGGGCAGTGGCACTTCCCTCCCTGGGTGGGAAGTTTAGGGCTGGGCTCACATGTCCTTTGTCTCCTCAGTGTCCTCCTCCTAATCATTCCCTGAGCCTCCTCACCCTTCTGTGCCTTCCAAAGTCTCTGTTCTGGAAGGTTCCATTCCAGTCCTATCTTTTCCATAAAACCTCCCCTGAGCAGAGCAATCCGAGGCTTTGTTCCCCTCAACCTCCAGATCAGTTCTTGCCTGTGCACTTAGACCCACGCACAGTGTACGACCGCACAGTGCTTTTGCTCAGAGTTTTTGGAACTTTAAAAAATAAAGCGATCGTTAACTTTTCCTATCTCCCCTGCTGGATCTGAGGGGGCGCCACGTCCATTGATCTGATTTGTCCTGAAAAGGAGGCACCACTGACCCAGGCTGTGGGCCAATGCCTGAGGAGCCTGCTGGGCTGGAGTGCTGTGCTCACACGCCAGGGGAGATGCAGACATAAGGACGATGGGCACCCTCTTGATCTGTTCGGATCCACCAGGGGAGATGCGAGGTAAACCTACCAATGCCCTCAGGGTCTAAATCCACCTGAGGCTGCACAATTTAGAGTGATTCCCCCTCCACGCCCTTTCTCTCTGTCCCCCACGCCCTCTGGGGGCCCCAAGCCTTCCATTCCCCGCTCCTCGAGCCCAGTGGCCTCTGTCCGAGGGGAGTTCCAAGCACAGAGAGCAGAGAGAGACTTTCACTTCGGGAAGATGAACAGACATGTCATAGGCAGAGAGCGGACAGGAGGGTGTGTGGCTTCTCAGGGCTGATGTAAATGTCTGCCATCTTGGGTGTAAGTGGCTTTGCTAGGCGGCACCTCATGTGAAGTCCCTACACAGGTGTGTCCGGGCAAGGGCTCAGAAGGGCTCACAGGAATTTTGTGCTTTGTTTCCTAGGATTCGTGGGATGAGCTGCTTATTGGCGACGTGATAATGAAAAGAATAATGGCTTGTTCCAGGTAAGGCTCCTCCACCCCTGGCAGGGAGAAGGAGGGGAGGGCTAAGGCCATTCTGCTTTGTCCCTTGTATGATGCTGTGTGTGTATGTCCAGGTGCATTTTAACCATGGTGGACCCAGACACCGGCGTCATGAGCAGGAAGGAGCCGCTGGAGACCCTGAAGAGGTAGGACTAGGCAGCCTGATCTCTCTAGAAGCAGTGAAAATACCATGAACATACAGTCTTAATGCTGCAGGGGGTCCCAGTGACTGCGTAACTTGGGCAGTATTCCTGGGGGCCGTGGTTCCCAGAATGCCTGTTTGCACAAATAATTTTATTTCTCATTTAGAGTTCATGATTCAAATAAACCAATGTAAGAAATGCATTGTTTAGATATTTAGGCAAACTATATTATGAAGTGAGTATCAGATGATACCAAAAATGTATTAGGTGTGATAATGGCATCGTGATGTAAGAATTTCTCCATGTATTTTGGGGAAGGGTGCTGAAGTAAGTAGGGGAATTGACACAATGTCTGGGAAGTGCTGTATATTATTTTAGCCAAAAAAAAAAAGGTCACATGGAAAAAAATGTGTCAAAGCCTTGATTAATAGAATATGAGTGATAATTACATGGGGATTCATTGCAGCATTTCTACTTTTATGTTTACTCTAAAATATTCATAATAAAAAATAAAAAAATTTTAAGTGAAAGATAGAGAGAATAAGTTTAAATTGAATAGATAGTTAAAATAACATGGATTTTTTTAAAAGCTGATTACAGAATAGCAGATAGAGTATTTTTTTATTTGATTTTACTTTTTATTTTATTAAAGATTTATTTATTTGAGAGAGAGAGAAAGAGCAGAGGGAGAGGGAGAGGGAATCTCAAGCAGGCTCCATGCCCAGCACGAGGCCAGACTCGGGACTACATCCCAGGACCCTGAGATCAAGACCTGAACCTAAACCAAGAGTCAGACGCTCAACTGACTGAGCCACCCAGGCGCCCCGATTTTACTTTTTTTTAAAATATATAAATGCACATGAGTGATAAAGGGCTGAAAGTTTATAAACCAAAATGTTAATGGAGGTGCTCTTGTAGTAATGGAATTATGGGCAAATAGATATATTCTTATATGTAGTCTTTAAACTTTCTGTGATCAACCTGCGTTACTTTTGCTAAAATGACAGTTGAAGACCTGAGCAACTTCAGTGGTGGTATCTGCCCCGTGTAAGGTTGGAGGGGGGCTGTCAGGTCTCATCTCTGCAGCTCCCAAGCCCTTCAGCTTTGACCCTGACTTGTGTCCCCAGGTGGCTCTAATAGAGGGGGAAGGGAAGGCATGGAGCATCACCGTGACAGCTTCTTGGGGCAAAGCCCCAGAAGACTTGGGGCAGGACGCAGTTGGTGCCATCTGGCTCCAAAACCATCGTGGGAGAGCACAGTGAGGGGTTTGTGTGACCAGATGCACTGCCCTGGAATGTGACTCCTGCTGCCTGCCATCCTTCCCTCTCTCACAAACCTTGTGGCCTTCTTTAGGCCAACCGGTTAGCCTCCTTTGATCAACACCAATCTTACTCTGCTGATCTTGCTGTTCCAGAAGCTACTATCTGGCCGTTGCTGGGCCTGCTGAAGCCCTGGGGTAGAGGGCTGTTGTCCCAGCTGGCAAATCACCCTCAGGCATGAGGCTCTGGGCCTGCCCTCGGTGGCCAGCACCTGTCGTCCGAGAAGACAGGTGTCCTTCATGAGGGCCAGGCCACAAGGCAGAGAGATGGATCAGGAGTGAAGTCAGACAAGCTGGGTTGAGGGGGATCAAAGAGAGGCATTCTTGAACTGAAGAGCAAACTGCTTTCCATCTGGGTCCCCACCACTGAGCGTGGATTTGCGGGAACATTCCATGAGAAGGTACAGACCAGCCGAAGGCAAATCTCATCATTTTGAGGGGGCACTGTGTATTTCTCAATGCTGAAAACAAAGTTAATTCACTTTCTCATTTTAACTTAATATTTATTACTTAATGTTAAGAACTTAATACGATAAAACACTTGAGATTTATGTATTCCACACCTTGTACATCCCCCCCCCAAAAAAAGCAAAGAAAATTTTAACTCTAGGGCATGATATGCCAGCTGAACTGTTTAGAGGTGAAGTCCACTGATGTCTGTGAGTTATTTGGAAATGCCAAAAAATTATAATGCATTGATGGATGGATAAAAATGTGATCAAGGAAGTTGTCTGTAGGGGCGCCTGGGGGGCTCAGTCGTTAAGCGCCTGCCTTTGGCTCAGGTCGTGATCCCAGGGTCCTGGGATCGAGCCCCGCATCAGGCTCCTTGCTCGGCGGGAGGCCTGCTTCTCCCTCCCCCACTCCCCCTGCTTGTGTTCCCTCTCTCCCTGTGTCTCTCTCTGTCAAATAAATAAATAAAATCTTAAAAAAAAAAAAAAGGAAGTGTCTGTAAAGTGTTATAGGTAGAGTCCAGGGGGTTGGTAAATGTGTGTTTGCTATAAAATTCTCTTAACTTGTTTGCATGTCTGGGGATTGTGATAATACTGTGTGTGTTGGAACATTAGTAAGGAGAGTGGGGTTTTGAGAAGCGGTGACGACAGACTAGCTATTCTTCAAAATGCCCTACTCACCATCAGAACAGAGCGGAGTCTGGTCTTCCTACCTCCTGTGGCCACAGAGTCGCTGCAGGGAGAAGGACAGGTGGTGGGGGTGTGGTCGCGGTGGCGGGGGGAGCCCCGTCCTGGGAGTCAGGAACCCTGTGCTTATCAGCCGCTCCCCCTCCCGCGCAGGCCGGCGTGTTCTTCCCTCCGAAATAAGCCGGGTAGGACAGACCTGGATGAGTCTCGGTGCAAACCCGCTGAGTGATTTTGGGGACCCTTCGTCACCCTTTTTTATACATCTTGTCCAGTCTCTCTCCCCAACATGTTGCTTGGTCACCCTGGACTTAGTGTCTCTGCAGCGCTGAAAGCACTCAGGTGTTTAGGCCCATCCTCTGACTCTTTCGTGCTCGCCTCCATTGGGAAGCTGTGTTTACAGAACGAGGATCATTGACCCAGACACAGAGCGAGGGCAAGCCGGCGGGGGTCCCAGGATCCAGCACAGCCCCCTGATCCTCCACAGGCTTTCTGCGGTCCGGCAGTCACACCCTAATGGCTCCTAATATCCCGGGAGACAAAGCAGCCAGCCTAGGTGTCTCCCATCTCTTACGGAGATTGAAATGGCCATAGATGTAGTAATTTATGCTCTCCCTGGGACAGGTAGTCATAAATCTGGAGAAAGAGAAAGGCCGGGCTTCGCGACATAAATCATGGGAAGCAGAGCAAAGAGCGGTGTCCAGAACAGCTTCTCCACTCTCAGGCAGGTGGCTCGGAGCCAGGCTGCTTTCCATTTTCCTCTGTCCTCAGGTGCCCAGGGGCTGTGTTGCTTTGAGGACACAGGGGAGACCTCTGCCAGCCTTACCCACTGAAGCCTGTCGCCCACAGGCAGAGTGCGGGGTGGCAGAGCCATGAGAGAAAAAGAAATATGTCTGGCACTGCTGAACGTCTGTAAGATCCTCGTGGTGGGTGGTGCAGAGGAGGCTGCTGGCTAGTGGGAAAATAGGAAGATGGAATTCCTTCCTTCCTTTCCTTCGTTCCTTCGTTCCTTCGTTCGTTCGTTCGTTTGTTCCTTCCTTCCCTCCTTCCTTCCCTCCTTCCCTCCTTCCCTCCTTCCTTCCTTCCAGATTTTATTGAGGGGGGAGACAGAGGGACAGGGAGAGAGAGTCCTAAGCAGATTCCAAGCTGAGTGCAGAGCCTGACGTGGGACTTGATCCCATGACCTAGAGACCATGACCTGAACTGAAACCAAAAGTTGGACACTCAATGGACTGAGCCACCCAGGCACCCCCTACTCTTTTCTTTCTTAAGGGAGAGTGACTTCCGCACTGATCCCTAGGGCTTAAGGTGTGGTGGGAGTCTGTCATTGCTGCTTCCAGAACATCTGGCTCCTAATTAATAGAAAGAGGAAAGCACGTTTGCTTCATAGATGCAAAAGTTTTGTTGGACACATGAATACTTTGACATTAAGGACATTTGCCACTTGTGTTAGGCTATGTTGAGCTAAAGACAGAAGGATATAGTGGTAATACCGTGGGAGAAGACAGACACCCCCAGCCCCATCTGGCTCTATCACTGGCTGATTGTGTGACTTTGGCAAGTCAATTAGCTTCTTGATGCTTCGGTTTCCTTATTGGTAAACACTGGACTAATAATACCTGTCCTGGTTGATCAGAATAAGGCAATACCTATGATTTTAAAAAATAGATGATAAAATATTGTACACAATGACTGTGTAGGCTCTGATTGTTGATAGTCTCAGTCTATGAACTTGACACCTTCTGGGAGAAGGAGAAGTCTGAAGACACTTCTCTCTGTTCTCTGAAGCTGCATTAAATAAAACCCAACCCAGATCTGCTCAGTCTGTAGGGCTCCCCTCCTCCAAGCTGCCTTCACAGTGCTATTTCATTCTTTTTTTTTTTTTGAAGATTTTATTTATTTATTTGACAGAGAAAGACGCAGCAAGAGAGGGAACACAAACAGGGGGAGCGGGAGAGGGAGAAACAGGCTTCCTGCAGAGCAGGGAGTCCCATGAGGGGCTCCATCCCAGGACCCTGGGATCATGACCTGAGCCGAAGGCAGACGCTTAATGACTGAGCCACCCAGGCGCCCCTGTGCTGTTTCATTCTTAACCTGGCCATCGGGTTAGTGGGTTGTGAGGCCTCAGAAGTGGCCTGTGCCCCAAGGTGGGGATCCAGTGGTGACCAGAGAGAGACCCTGCTTGTCGTCACAGCCTGGGCACTGACCAGTAAACGAGCAGACCAGGCAGAGTAAATGATGAGCAGCCCTCATGGTGCACATGGTGCACAAAACCTTTACAGGTTTCCACTCACACCACACCCTTCCAGTTTAGAGACCTCTGTTGAAGTTAAAAGTGTCTTGAACCTCCTGCTCATTAGAGTAGTTGTATGTTTCCTATTCATTGAAAAAGAAAATGCATTAACAAAGGAACTTTTAAATGAGTTTGTAGTTTATTAACCCCAACAACAACAAAAATATATCTTTGAACAAAATCATAGATGGTCCTGGGAAGATACGGTACTGTTTGCAGTCTGTGGAACAAAGCTTGGTGTGCACGTGCATTTGCAGACCGCTCGCAGTACCCGCTCATCCCCACAAGGGGTCGCCGATGATCTCGTTAATGGGGGCTTCCTGCGTCCCTGCAGGGGCCTGCGGTGTTAGGGGGAGCTGCAGGTGGGGTGAGAGTTGGGAAGGGTTGTAGGGAAGGCAGGCCCGCACACAGCCAGCTCTCCAATGCCACAGCGCTCCCCGTTTCTATTCCTAGGCGACGAAATGGATGGCCACCTGCGAACCGGGTGACCAAACCTGTGCTCGCATGAACCAAATTTCTTGCCCCACTTTGCGCTGTTTAAGGGGGCTGGGCTGGAAGGGGCCCTCTCCTCTCAGTTACCTGGTCGGGGAGTCTATGTGAGTGGTTGATGGGAACAGGCAGGTGGAACCCACGAGCGGCCAGTCCTCTGTGTACAAGAATTAGTATTAACCCGCTCAGTTTTTCTCAGGTCTGTGCGTGTACCCAGATGCGGTATAGATGACCAGGGGTCAATCGCATACTGGGTAGGAAGCATGGCGACTGTGGGTGGAGTGGCCAGACCGCGCCTGACCACTGAGATCTGTGCTCTGGGGCACGTTGGTTACTCCTGAGACTTAGCTGTAGAGTGGAGAGAACTCACATTCTCCCCTAGGCTTGTTGTAAGGATTAAGAGATTGCTGTGTGAGGTGTTCTTTAGAACTTTCAGTGCCCCCCCCCCCGCACCCCCACGAAATAATCCGAATCGAGGACCCAGGCTACAGAACTCCAATCCTGAAGAAGCCACTCTCTGATAGACACAGATCCTAAAATGTCGCTGGTATTGCATGCTGATGGGAGAGGTAGGTGAGGAGAGGGTCCAAGGTCATTGCGGGGACCTGACTGCCGAGCTGGGGAGTACTGGGGGCGAGGCAGGGCCGCCTGGGGCAGCAGCTCATGGCCTTCATCCACCCGCTGATTGCTCATTTGTTTGCTCAGCAAGCCTTGTTGGAGAGGCCCCAGTGTGCCAGGCTCTGTAGCAGGCTCAGGGATGCAGCAGGGACCGGGACAGGCAGGGGGCGCCTGCAGTCTGGCGAGGAGCTGAGGGTCCCGGAAGGAACCCCTGGATTTGATCTGCTCCGGTTGCTCATCAGCCATTTCTGAAGCGAAGGACAAAATAAGGACCAGCTTGCCACAAAAGGTTCCCCCCCCCCCCCACTTTTAAAGCACTGTAGAATGAAATGAAGACATTCTATAAAAATGTTTGAAATAGGGCGCCTGGGTGGCTCAGTCGTTAAGCGTCTACCTTCGGCTCAGATCATGATCCCAGGGTCCTGGGATCGAGCCCCGCATCGGGCTCCCTGCTCAGCAGGGAGGCCTGCTTCTCCCTCTGCCACTCCCCCTGCTTGAGGTCCCTCTCTCGCTGTGTCTCTCTCTGTTGAAAAATAAATACAATCTTAAAAAAAGTTTGAAATATAAAGATGATATAAAATTGGAGCTAGCTTCAGTGAGAAACTGAAGGAAAACTTTCTCCCGGGGGGTGGGGGGAGAATGTCGCCATGTTGTTCCCACACACTCTACCTGGGACTGCTTGTGTTTTCTGCCGGACAGAGATGTTCATGCTGATTCTAATAGAGGCTTTTCATTCATCCGTTCAACGATGACTGTGGGTCCCTGGGGACGGGTAGGGCCCAGCACTGGGTGTGAGCAGTACAAGGGAGTTCGTCACAGCTGCTCTTCTGCAGGGACCCTCTGTCTTGCAGACAGACAGACATGTGCCCTGACTACAGAACAAGGCATGGGAGTGTTCCAGGGGCAGGCAGGGAAACACTGAGGCTGGGAAAATTACTCCTGGCTGGGGGCTCCTGGGCTTCCTTCCTAGGAGATAGGGCATTTGAGTTGGGCCTCGAGGGGAAGGTAGAATTTTAACGCATGGGGAAGCAGAAGAGGGGCATCCCACAGGAGTCTCGGAGCTGGTGAAGTGCAAAGCAAGATAAAAGGACATTGAGGGATCCGGTAGAGAGCGATGCAGGTGCAGGTAAGGGGCAGAGGGTGACAGGTTTGAAAAAGCTTCTGGGGCCAGGTGGACAGCCTCACATGCCCCGCTGAAGAGCTGGAATGTTATTCTGTAGGCACGTTGAGAGTGCCTGAGCCTGGCATGGTTAAGACCGGAGCAGAATTAAGAAAGTGATACAGTGTAGCACCAACAACGAATTGGAAGCCGGGGAGCGGAAAGTGATACAGTGTAGCACCAACAACGAATTGGAAGCCGGGTTGCGGAAAGTGATACAGTGTAGCACCAACAACGAATTGGAAGCCGGGGCTCGGAGAGTGAGAAGAGGTCAGCCATGAAGTTGTCACAATGGTCTGAGCGTGCTGAAAGCAAGGGGCTGGCTGTGGGAGAAACCGCGAGCAAATCCTGTGATGCGGGGCCGGAAGAACCTCAGGGCTTGGCAACTATGGAGGAGCGGTGGAGAGTGAGGGGAGGAGGGCACTGGAGGCCCCCAGGGCTCCAAGCCTGAGGCACTGGTGGTTCTAGTGAGGAGAGATGCCTAGAGAAACGGAAGGTGGGAACGTATGTCTAAACATCTCAAGTACCGCATCGCCGAATGCTGCGAACGGGAACGCCCCATGGAAGGAAGATGTGGGCGTCTGGCCACCGTGGGCTCTTCTGTAGTTTATGCCCTGGGCAGGCCGCTCATTGCACAACTCCAGGAGGCCCTCTTCTGTTAGACTTTGGTGGGAATGGTGGCCCCTGGTGGCCCTGTGTAGGGTGGACATTTACTTCAGCCGAGAAGGAAGCATATGCTCTTTGAGCTCTTGCTTCTGTTCGGCTGTGACTCATGGTGATCTTTCTCCTGTTGCAGTTATCGTCTGTGTGACCCTTCTGAGCAGAAGCTGTATGGAAAATCACCTCTCTTCGGGCAGTATTTTGTCCTGGAAAGCACAGGGACCATCAAAGTGGGAGACCCTGTGTACCTGCTGGGCCAGTAGTAGGAATCATGTCCTAGAATGTCAAGTACCTTTGAAGAAATGTCCTCAAAAATGCCCACACTGGAGGCAAAGTTCTGGAACTGGTACCTCAGCATTTCCTTCAGGTCTGTGACTTCCAAGCATTTTGTCTTTTGGACTTCCTGGT